ATTGCCCGGTGAGGAGCAGCCTGTCTGGAATCTGGACTCTCGGAGTCTGGACGCGAGTAGGCTGGGGCGGCGCCGCGCCGGTCCCGGTCGGCTGGAGCCCGGTGCTGACCGTGGCTGCGTCCGCTGCCGGCTATATTCAGAGGTTCATTGACCCAGCCGAGCCGGTCGCCGCCAAGCAGCCACCCGACAGCCAAGTATACATAGAGTTGAGGCGGGCGATCGACGGATTACATACACTGATCCACCGGCTACGGTGCACTGTGCAGTTGAAATTGACCATTAAACGGTCATCTCTTATCTCACTATGTGGTAGCATTTAGCTCTCCTCTATTTGTAATACCCTGTCATGAGATGAAATTTTAATTGCAAAGGTGAGGTTATTTCACCCACTGAGCAAATTTCATTTAACTTTCCACTGTCAAGGAGTGGCAATAGATGAGAGATGTATGATTATGTACAGAATCGGGTAGGTACTGGAGCCCAGCCCCGACGTAACCTTCTAAACGAAATGGCTGCAGCTTCGGCCAAGATTATTTTAGTTTCACTGCTTCAGTATGCCGTAGCGGTTCATAAAAAAAAATGCTAGAACATCACTTGGATAGGTAGGAATGAAATATTGAAAATAGATGTACTGATATGCATTGCGAATGTCATTCGGAGAACACTTAGAGCCTTGCAATAATCGGAAGGAAAACTAATGTGATACAATATAACACGGATAGGAATAGGTATCACGACTTGCCGCGTTTGCTATCGTCATACTACCTTCAGAAAAAAAGTAGGTAAACGGCAGCCGAATAGTTGGACTTGATTGAATAGTGTGGATAATGATGGCGCCACAGATAAATGAAAAATCAAAATATTGTCGAGAAAGTACCCGACATTCATCCCCATTACTTTCTTCCCTTCCCTGACAAACATGGGACGCTCGGCGGCCGGCCGTATGTATCTCACCGGATGTTTGTCGCTGACTGGCGGCCACTCAGGAGGTCAGTAGGCCCAGGTCCCGGCACTATCGCGGGCCGATCGCATACAAGACGGACCCTCCGACCGGCGACAGCGGCCCACTGACGGGCGGGGACGTCCGTGAACGCAGGACGGTGTTCACCGGATAATGTTCTGTTCACATTGTTGGTGAAGCGGTATACGAATTTGCACGTCTTACACGTAACATCAATAAGTGCATTCGCGATAATGTAAGTGGTAGATTGTTAAGCGTGTGACTGGCCTAACGTATCTCATTTATTTAAGTGTACTGCACATATGACAAGTAGAAATTACATATAGGCACCGAGCTGCCTACTTGCTTGATATCACTGTTTTGACTGTAGCAATTTATCATCCTACGTTAGCCTTTTGCTCTTGGATACCTAGCTATGGACAACTTTATCTATGTTGTGGCAGTTCAAAAAGATGAACACTGCATCTCTTCGTCCATAGACATAGACAAACAGCAACTAAAAGAAGCGCCAAGAGCTGTAATTAGTATTAGCGCCGGCAATAGCGGCCAGCAGCGGCCATTGCGTAATGTGTACGCTTTCTCCGATACTGTGCCGCAATGCAACGGTGTAGTGCGGAACAGTTCGATATATGTGAACTTTGACAGTCGTATGCAGTGATCATGAGCCATTCCGGCGTTGCAGTCCCCTATCTTCTGCGAGATGATAGCAGCGACGTGCTGCCATTCGGCTGTTGTAAATTGATTACATATATGTCATTGTCCGTCCTTTTAGTACATACATGGTTAGGTATTGGTATAGGTATGCACTGTCATTGTGGTAACTTGGCCTGCATGTATACTTTATTGTATAGGTAATACGATAAGCATTGCATTAGCGATCCATGGATTTTAGACAAATCTGTAGGTATGCTGCTGTCACATGTAGGTAGAAAAAAACGGTACCCGATTCATATAATTATAAAACGTCGACAATAACACTTTTATTTAACGTTCCTTTCTTGCCTACATACAAAGACCGCTCTGAAAGTCAACCATCCATGGACGTAGTGCACAGGTTGGTAGGTAGGTATATGACCGGTTATAAAGTAAAAATGACCCAATATAGACATGGATATTGAGTATAATACACATTAGGTCATAGTTAGGTCTATGAGCGTACCTACGAGTACAGGTCACTTAACCCTTGCCCTGGCAGGGCATTTTTCATAACACGGCCTGGCAGGGGGGGGGGGGGGGGCGATGCGACCCCCCTCGCGATTGGCTCCTATGGCACCTAGAAACACCAAATTTGGTAGGTAGGTGGGCCCCCTGGAGTTCTCACCCCTGTGCAAATTTGGTTGCTCTAGGTCATTATTTAGAGGGGTTTTGGGGGGTATACCTAAATGTAAAAATTTCGCTAAAAACAGGTCAAAAGTTTTTCGCTTATAACTTCTAATCTAATTAAGATAGAGCAAAAAAAAAAGCACCAGTGAACTCAGCACGTCAAGGCGCGTCGAATGATATACATTTTAGATTGCTTAAGTGTACTTAAAATTTTTCTTAATTTTTAAGTAAACTTTAATTAATTAATTAAGTTCAACTTTACCAAATTGCATCATATCGCGTATCATTCGATTCGGCTGATCATATGGAACACAATGACACCATTTTAAGCTCTAACGTCATTATGTGCCAAGTTATTGGCAAAAACGTCATTTGACCTCAGTTGACCTCATTTGACCTGACCCATGGATAACTACACCAAACAAAGAAGCACCAAGTGACCTGCTGTTAAGTACTGTGGTTTCAAAGCACAAAAGTGATAGAACGAGGCGGATATCTCCAGTATTTTCCGAATTTAGTATTTTCCCATAGGCTTAACATTACGGCGTAATGACCTCTAACTGACCTCAGGTCAGTGACCTCAAAAAACCCGAACTATATGTTATACAACTCGGTGAACTTAGCACATCCTGAAAATTTGAAGGAAATCAGTCGAAAACTGTGAGTTGGACAGGTGCCAAAAGAAAATTGAAATTTGACCATGACCTTGTACCGGTTTTTCTGACCTGGTGACCTGACCCAAGGTCACCCGGACCTGAAATTTTCAGGTAATATGTAAAAAGGTTGCCCAATAGGTTGTCCCAAATTTGGTGGCGCTGCGCGCCGCCGTTTTTACGCTATCTTTGAAAAACCTTGGGGGGGTCGCATCGACCCCCCTGCCAGGGCGAGGGTTAAACGTTTATCTGTGAGCTGTTATAGTTAGGAAAAAAGATTGTATGATTCCAGGACGTTTTATTTATTAATATAGATTGCTACATGTATGGACGTTTATGTGGCAATGATGAATAAAGCAATAAACGACTCTAATTGCAGCGCATTATCAAAAATGTAACTGGCTCAAGTGTGAGTTGCTATGTTCCCTGTTTCTTTTATGCTATACGGGCGAAATTCTGCTCTACAGCCTTGAAAGTGGTCGAGGCATGTTTTGGACCAGAGTTCCTTCTGTTTCCCGCCAAAGCAGTAATCTACACGTCCAACGTTTTGTGCTTTTTTGTAACTGAGTAGGTTATCGTGCATAACATAGAGGTCGCGTGCCCATATCTAACGACTTAAAAGTGGCCCCTGCCAATTACTACTGTTCCTTATGACGGTTCACTGCCCTGCTTGATTGCTCCGCTGAAAGTATGATTTTATTATACCTATTCGGATCGTTAGAATTGGTATACCCGTATAACACTGTATAGCTCTGCTACAGCATTGATCGACGGACAAATACATAAAAAGTAGGCACAATTGACGGTAACGGATCTTGTTGGTATCCACACAAAACGACTAGTGAAAATACGACATTGTAAAAATGCGTATGAAATATGATGAAAATATGTGACTGACGTCTGACTGATAGCATAATATACCGGTCCATTGAGGTCCTGTATTTATATTCAGCGACGACAGCGGCTATCGGCTAGCGGCCAGCGGCCCGTGACGTGGCGTTGGAGACCGTCAGCCGCCCGTGGCCGGCCGGTAGCGTTATTTTTTGTCCGTCTGTCCAGCGTGGATACAGGCGGGAGGTCAGCGACCCGCACTCCCAGCACCATAACGAGGTGACTGGTTCACGGTCCGTCGCTAAACACAGGCCGATGGGCCACATATACAGTAAAAAAAATGGTCATCCCATCCCGACGCGCCGGTCACTGAAGGTGAATCTATTGACTATTGGAGCTCACGTGAGCACTCACGCTGTTGGAACACATGCAAAATTAATTGTGAACAATAAGCGCGAAAGCATCAAATTCAATATGGTTGTTGTTGTGTATCAGCTAGGTAGGGCCCGGGCCCAATAAATAATTTCAGTACTAAGATGAGAGAAAAATTGAGCCCAAATAACAGATTTCATATCATCTTTGTCATTTTGCACTTTGCAGCACATAAAGTGACAGTCACATTCACCACAGACCTTTGCGCCATTCAGCTCGTTTACATTACACTAGTCGCACTTGTTTATTAAAAAAGAAGCCAGAGCGCAGTAGAATAGACACAGTGTAAGGGCGCGGGGTCATTGTCCTGCGACACAGGCACGCACAGACGGTTACGAAAGTAGCTAACACTGTTTCAGCACTGCTTAGGATCTTGCAAGTCCAGGCAGGCGAGACGGCAGGCAATAAGATCGATTTATAGGTATGCAGCTTATAAGTAAAAAGGAGCAAAATAGTGAACTGTTTACTTACGAGTACTGTGTAGATAATAGGCATGTTTGCCTTGTTTTGTAATTATCGATTGGGACGCGTCCCCGATCTGACCAGCTGCCATTTCGCGGGCTTTGCTCTGCCAGGTGCTCTGCCTTTGTTCCCTATCGGCGCCAGATATGGATGACGAGTCCGATTTCGCAGCACGTCGCCTCCGGGTGCCCTGTCCTGTTCGCGAATCGGTGGACTGCCCTGACGTAACCCCGCGCCAGCGCCGGCGGACTCTGCAACTCGTTTTTGCGGCGCTGACCTTGACTTTGACTGCGAGCGAGTCGCGTCCGGACGGTAAACACAGGCGGTGAGCCACCGCCACGCCGCGGGCGAGCCGGGAGAGCGCGAGCGCGCCGGTCGCCACCGTTCGCGCTTCAGTCATCCTCCGGGCGCCGGTGGGGGACGACGCGCCTGTGCGACACCGCGAGTGGGCCAGACCAGACAGCAGTGGTGGGTCGCGCCCCAACACAGAAATAGACGGGCATCGGAGCCAGCTGCGACCAGGACGAGACGGCTCAGACCACCGGCGATTTGGCGCCCGCCTCGTCAAGGTCAGCTCAGGTCAGTGCCGCGGGAGCGCTATGTCGGTGGGACGGTGGGGTCGAGGACCGCGGCACCGCCAAGTGGTCCAAGGTGACTTGTTGGAAACTCTACGCCGCCGCTCCTCAGCTATACATAAGTGGGTCTGGGGCGACCGCGTGTCGCGTGGATACACTGAACGAAATGACTGATTAGAAGAGTACAACATTGTTTTTCGGTGTGCCACAGACAATGACAAGGATAGTCAACTGTGTGAGATGTCTCGACGCCTGTATATTTGGAGTGATCTGTGATTGATTTCTTCTAATCGGAAGTTGTGTAACGTCCGTGACCTACCGCACTTCTGAAGAGGTCCGTTAATTATTTGTCAAACGTCGAGTGGCGGGCCAAACCCGTGCCATTGCATTTGTCACGGTCCGACCACCCTGTATACTGATTTGTTATCTACCTATGCATTTTGCATTTAACATTTATCAGCAGTCTTTAGGCCAAATGAGTTGAAGTCTCCCAATGCCTACACTTGTTCTGCTTTCGCATACGTTACGGGTTTCGTAGTCGTACACGTTACGTAAACGGTTTCGTATATATCGTTTACATTTTTTCCTTAGCAAGAAGCCGGAAAGTTCAAAACTTATTATCGAAGCTGAACAGGACAACGCCTATTGATAATTCCTTGGCTTTCTTATCCGCAAAAAAAAAAACAACAAATAAACCGTCTATTGCTTGTTTTGGAGACTCACGGTCCCCTATACATAAGAAAGATCGTATTGAATAAGCGTGCACCAATCGGCAATCACCTTTATTAACCGTGCAAGTTCGTAAGAACGTGCTACGTGAAATCGACTGTGTGGACAATACGATAAGATTATGTACAGGCTGCAACTACCTACCCCTATTCTGAACAACGCCGGAAGTTCTGGCAGCATGCTGTGGCATCAGCGCGTCACCATGCACCTCCTTGATCTCTGGGAAATCTGTGAACTGCTTCACGGCATAGTGCAAAGCCCTGGATGTTTGTAAACCGGGGAGACGATGCACTCTCAGCGCCGATCAATGGTATAACACATCCTGAGCCGCGGCGAGCGCGCTGAGTCTGTCCCTCAGCTGATCCGTGCCTGACAGAACCGCCGAGATGTTTATGTAGTTACGTAAGATTATCAGGACGCTGCGATCATCATTTCAAGCTAATTTCCGCATGACGATCACGGAGTGCATCGAGGCCTCTGGAAACGTACTAATCGAGGCAATCAAAATATTTACCGACACTATCGACTTCGAGGTATATCCATGTCAAACCGAGTCTCCCCGTATGCGTTTGCACGAAGGGTCAGTGCGATTGGGTCTCCCCTATTTTATTGGCATGTTTCTATAGCAGTTGACGCAGGGCGAAAATTGAACGCAACATCTCACAGTCTTCGGTCAATGTCAGATTGACGAAGTCACTTACTTGACGGAGGAAGCTCGCTTATAATAACGCTTACGCTCACACATCAACACAATAGGGAGTTATGCCTTGTAGGTATTTTGAACTGGCGTCCAACTGACACCGTTTGCTCTCCGAGCCTACGCAATTTCAATGGCGTATATGCCCTCTGGGCATGACTCATTTGCACGTCGCACAAAGTCATATCGTTCCGCTGACCAATTTGGTGCTCGAAAATCGTGCTCACTGCTCTGGGCGAGCAACGAAATGCGCATATATGATATAGCTACAGAGGAAAACGCCGAGGGTTGTTGCTAGCGCAGATATCGAGTCCTACATGGTGATGTAATACCTTGCCGGACGCTGCTGAACTGGTCACACTGCTTGCGATGTGTGCTCTCAGACCCGCTGTTTGGTAGTGTCCGCGGTCCAGTGCGGTGTCGAGGTGCGGCCAGAATAATGGGATCTGGTGTTTCTAGATCGTGTTCTGTGCCAGCCGCACAGTATCCGCGGCGCTTCATGCGCTGTGGCCTTCGCGCCGCTTTGGCTGACTCAGTGAGGTTTTTGGTAAATGGTAATCAGCTCAGTGAGACAGGGACTTCATGTCACTGCTCTGATACGGCGCCAAGAAACTCAATTCAACATCCGTTTATGTCCAAACAAAGGTCACTCGGAGGGTGGAAAGCCATTACCACGCAGTTTGTGTCCTCTTGTTCCAGATATCATCGCCGATCTTCTCCGTTAGTGTGGGCCGCCTGGTGCATCATCTCAGTGGGACTCTCCCTCGGCCATCGCCAGCGTCCCTCCTGCAGTCCCGCCGGCCTGCCCGCTGTCTGTATGGCGATGACGGAGGTGCTGAGCGGCGGCCGAGGCGGCGGCGGGGGCGGCGGCGGCGCGCTGGACCGCGTGCTGCTGGCGCCTGTCCACCTGCTGCACGCCATCACCAGCAACGACCAGCTGCGGGCGGCGCAGGCGCTCGAGTCCGGCCTCGACTGCGACCACCGCTTCAACTACGGCGCCGCCATCCGGCCGGCCGTCAACATCTGCGCCGAGAAGGGGCACACCGACATCAGTGAGTACCTATCAGTAGGGGAAGCAGCTGGGGGCCTGGGAGGAACACACTGACATCAGTGAGTATCAGTTGGGGAGGCAGCTGGGGACTGGGGAGGCAGCTTAGAAGGGGCACACCGACATCAGTGAGTATCAGCCGGGGAGGCAGCTGGGAGAGGGAGTGGGAAGCTTAGAAAGGACACACCGACATCAGTGAGTATCAGTAGGGGAGGCAGCTGGGAGGGGAGGCAGCTTAGAAGGGACACACCAGACATCAGTGAGTATCAGTTGGGGAGGCGGCTGGGGACTGGGCAGGGACACACTGACATCAGTGAGCATCAGTCGGGGAGGAAGCTGGGAGGGGGAGGCAGCTTAGAAAGGACACACTGACTGATATTAGTGAGTACAGTGCGGGTACAGCCTGAGAGGCAGCTAGAAGGGACACACTGATATCGATGAGAATACGGCAGTGCGGTTGCACTACAGCTATGCTCACTAGTCTACTAGACCCACGTGGTATAGACGTGGTCTAGTTATGTTTAGCCCGGAGACACGAGCACTGAGCGGTACGCATAAATACCTTTGTATCAAATGTCATCAGAGTGAATCGCCGATACATCCAGTAAGACGAACCCTTCAGAGTTCAGACCCTCCTTATCTCTAACGGAGCCGGGCTCCAACTCTGGACTCTGAACAGGCTGCGGCTGTCAGTGGTCCCCGCAGACGCGTTTCGAGGAAGCCCGCAGTCCCTCGCACCCTCCGTCCGCCGGCGGCACCGCTGAATTCTGCACGCACCGGTATGCTGATGCGCTCGCACGGGCCGCCGGCCATGAATCGAGCAGCTGCTCAGTGGATGCTGCACAGTGCACACTGCACAGTGCACAAGGCCAGAGCCGGCGGGCTCCCTGTACCGGGTGGCTGCACCCCATGGTGACCACTCGTTACTGGGCGACACTGGCAGGTAGGCCCGGTGGGCGCGACTGATCAGCACGGGCCGACTCCGCTTCCAGCAGCCAACAGTGACGCCGCGGGGCAGCTTTATCTGCCGATACCAGCACTTTGACATTTAATAACCCCCATACCTACCAATGGTCCATTATACCAACTGACGTCAACGTAGTGCAGAGCAGGAGCCTATTCGCATTAAATCGAGAGAGTCAGAGTCAGAGACTCGATTTGCGCAATCCGCGTGACTCATCGGGAACTTCCCCGCCTATTCCCTTCCACCTGCTATTTGCTCGGCGCAGAGTTATTCTACCCGTCGGCTCCCTTCTGTTGTGTGTACGCTGCCGAGTTCTAGGACGTCACGGGAAATTCCCTACGCCTCAGCGAATACGTGGCAAGGAGCCACGTTAATAAAAAGAAGCTGGTCATTGATCGGCGACATCCCGATGGGGCATAAGTTCACTGAGTGTGTATGGTGGCAGGAGCAATAAATACGCTCGTTATATAATACGTTATACGTAGGTACTGTAGTAGGGGAGAGTGGGGAAAGATGCCCAGGGTTTTACTATGTCATATATTATTCGAAAATGACGATCGGAAAGCAAAAACTTGGAGTTTCAACGGAAGCCGACATCATTTTTCTTCAAAAATATCACACTTTCGTGCCTGAAATATGAGAACTTTTTTTGCTATTAAGCATTTTCCTGAAGAAGTGAAAGGGGGCATCTTACCCCACAGGGTGGGAAAGACGCCCCCTGGCGTTGGGAAAGATGCCCCCTGCACTATAAGTGACATAAATGGGCACGTGAATCGCCTGAACGAATCAGTAGTCCCTTCGAGCCTGCAGTAGACACCAAACGTCATCGTAAGGGCCCTCAAAAGTAGTCGTAAGGGGCTTCAGAGGTCATCGTTAGGGCCATCATAGTCCAGCGTGGCCAAACAAGCCTCCGTGGTGGCGTTCGGAGACCACTGTGGGGCTCTTATAGGTCTTCATGATGCTTGAGGGCCCTCAAGCCCATCGTGGGGACCTCAGATGCCAGCGCGGCCCGTGGAGCCAACGTGGGAGCCCTCAAAGGATGTCGTGAGGGGCCCTGGAGCCAATAATGGGGCCCACAGAGGCCGTCGTGAGGGCTCTCAGAGTCAGATGCCGCCCCAAAAGTCGCTGTGTGGGCCGAGAGACCGGCATGGGGAGCACCCGACCGTACTGGACTCTCAATAGTCCCAGATCGGCTTTTGTCTCTCATCACAAGTATGTAATAGGTAAATGATTTGACGGGCTGCTTGAAGGACAGCCTACGGATTTAGGGGGGCGTCTTTCCCCATCAGGACAGGGGGCATCTTACCCCAAGGTACCGAAGTAACATTAAATCAGTACAATTTGTTAGCCATAAAACTATACCCTGAAACAAACTGTTTGGGACACAGTACACGCATGTTAATGTATCACGACTATAGCAAGGGACGCAAAAATTATCTATCTTCTTTGATATTTACAATGTTTTGACACCAAAATATTTTTTGAAAGCAGCAAATAAAAAACATGCAATCACCAGCCAGCCGTTGCCCAACTGAGCTTCGCAGATTTTTGTGCAGTTAACAAGGCAGGCTTCCGCTTTACGCTATGAACATTAATTTCCAGGTTCGATTCATTGTTTCGCCGCTAGAGGGGGTGGGGCGTCTTTCCCACCCTGGGCATCTTACCCCACTCTCCCCTACGTTCCAAGTACATTCGTTATATACCGTAATATCCTTGACACTTAAAGGACGACCTAGTGTCCTATATCATATCCGTCCGGTCATATACGAGTATTCGTATTACGAGTAGTACTCGTATTCGTAGTACTCGTATAGCTCGTATTCGAGCCAGCTGCACAGTGGAGGTAAAGCAAGGTCAGTGTGACATCCTCAACCGACTGACTACGTCATGACAGCCTTGCCGCGAATATTCATGAGCCTCAGCGCTGTAATGTGATGAGCCAGCATGTACTTGCAGTTTGCATTGTTCAGGTGCGGTGCCGTTTTCCAGTGAATGATGTTTGTGTTTAGCTTCGCGACTTGTATGGTCACTCAATAAGCTGCTAATTCGTTATAATAAAATTGCCAACAAAATTATGTGAAGCACAGGTGTTTATAAACTTCCATCGTTGGACGTTGCACTGCATTCGCTATGCTTATTTATGCAAGGGATCTTAGTGTAGTGAAGCTTCTCCGAGGGAGTAAGCCGTAAGCGGTAAGTAATTGTCTCTCACCGCAGACCGCGTTTATCTCTCCGTCTCTTTAGTCTGAGTGCACACGGGAGCAACTGGCGTTTGCTGCTGCTGCGATCTTTACAGACAACTAGGGGTAGCGTAGCGTAGGGCGTATACAAACTGTAACAGATTTTTAGGTTCTCTCCGACCATTGCGCAGTAACTAACTTAATAGCTACGCATCGTTTCTGCTGTGCCCCGCTTGCACTGAAGCTGCTCCTGCTTTGTGCCGTCCTCTTTGTTGTGTGCTGCGGTGCACAGTGCACACTGCCCCCGGCTCTGATAGTGAAGCTGCTGATATCCGTACTCACTACTCACTATGTATGTGTGCGCGCCGACAGTGCAGGAGCTGCTGTTAACTGTTAGTCGCTACGCGCCCGACAATGAAGTTTTTGTTCCCTAAGCTCATTCTTTGTGCTCAACAGTGAAGCTGCTGATTGCCCGCGGCTGCTCGGTGAATCAGCTGGACTCGACGGGCCACAGCCCGCTCCACAGCGCCGCACTGCTTGGTCACACGGCTGCCGTACGGCTGCTGTTGAAGCACCGCGCCGCGCCCAACACGCGGAACGCACACCGGCAGACGCCGCTGCACGCCGCAGCCGACGGCAACCGACTCGGTGAGGACGGGGGGATCGGAGGGAGAACGGAGCTTCACCTCTGAGTGTCATTGGGAGGGGAGATAGCTCACTGAGGGACAAAAAAAAACTCTGCCTGAGGGTCACCGGGGCAGGGGAGAAAAGAGCTGGAGCTTGACCTGGGGGTTACCGGGGCAGGGACTCAAGAGGAAGACGGTGTTCGGCCTGAGGGTCACTGAGGGAGACGGCTCATTGGAGATTGGAGGAAGGCGACTCGGCATGAGGGTCGCCGGAGCTAAAGAAAGGTGGAGGATGGGACTCTGCTTGATGATCGTCGGGGCAGAGATCAGACTGGGTCAGTTTGAGGGTCGCCAGAGTACGAATACGGGGAGGTGTTTTTGTTCTGACGGTCGCCGTCCGCAGGTATGGGAAACACGGCTTGGTGAGGGGACAGGGAGGGACGGTTAGGAGGAGAGAAGGTAAGAGAGCATACTTTTAACGAGGGGCGGAGAATCGTCTCGGGAAAGGACGGTTACAGCAGACGGACAGATGACTGGGGCGTTGCGCAGTCCACTGGGCAGCGGAGGATGGTGACTGGTGAGCATGGATACAGTGAGACGTTGACATGGGAAGTAGAAACGGAGGAGTGCGGTAGATAAGAAGTATTTGCTTACATTCTTGAGGTAGGTGTATCGGTGACATAGTACTCAAAGTACGGTAGTACTTCCGTGGATACCACAAACGGCAACGGGATCGATGACACGTTTCCTTGACATAAGTACTTATAAATACTCGTAAAGGTACTTTGCGTGAGATGTGACGTGTTTGCTAAATTCGTTGACACGAACCTTCTGGTTTTGTGCCACTTGTGCTTAAAGGTAGTGTGCCAGCTTTCTTGGACCGTATGGAGTTAATGGCCCAGATAAGGAGAACCGGATTTTTAGAACTTATCCATACCTTCAAAACTCATGGAAACGTCTTAAATTCTTCAAATTTTGAGTACCCCAGTGCGAAATTCGCCCCGACGGGTTGTCGGTCGTACCCCAACCACATTTCACACCACTATGAACAATAAATGCACACACTGAAATCGCTATTACCGATATGCTCATCCAATCAAGTTTCGATAAACCCGTTCATCATCATCTCCTGCGGTTTCGAACACGCCTGTTAGGTGGCTTCTGATGCTCGTCGAGGTCGGAATTTCCAAATACGCGTGGTGCGTCGGGCCGCGCGCTCTGACTTCGGCCAAGAAAAATGCGTCAGCTGATCATTGTCATTTCTGCCACTTGCGTGTGGTGAAATGGGGTCATAACTTATAAGACGGCTTTTTCATATCAATTATTTTACATAAAATCATACTTCAAACCATAAGTAATGTTCGACAGCCAAATAAAAGAAACAATACCAATACGGGCTTACAGTTTAAGGCTCGACATTGTGTTGTCTACGATTAGACAGCTGATAACTCATTCCCGTACGTCGTATGGTCGTAACACTATAATGACCTTTGCTTATTGTCACAAGTGCGCCGCATTCGCGATTGTTGCCCGACGCCTGTTTGCAGGTGAGCCCACTACAGTTGTTATACATATCTAAAAACCGAAAAACTTTTAGGCGAAAAAGGCACTATTCCAGGCCCATTTTTGATTTTTTTTTGCGATATTAGGTAAAAACAGAAGCTTCTTATCCTAGGAAAAATAAAATGGGAAATCTTTCAAAGGTGGCACACTACCTTTAAGCTTCATATTTGACTAATACGTTCAGATGAACCGGGGCGCTCGGATCAAACAGAAAGTCAATTAGGAATTAGGAACAGAAAGTCAATTATCGATCAGACATAAATACCATGACTATCCGAAGAGGATTACAAAGTAAGAAGATTATCGGTCAGATTGCGGTGTGCTTGAGTATGGAGGCGTGGTTATTTTCAACGATACCAAATGGGACGAATTCTTGACCTCTATAACGAAGCTTCAGCTAAGCGTCACCGTGTGATGTCTCGTATCATATCCATCCAGAGGAGATTACTACCGCCATAGTATCAGCCTCCTGTATGCTCGGTCTCTTTTTCTCCCCCTTCCCTTTGTTTTCACTAACGCCTTCTCCCGCTGACCGCCGGCAGACATCACCCGCCTGCTGCTGGACGCCGGCGCCGACCCGAACGTCTCGGACGCCAGCGGGCGCACACCGCTGATGAACGCCTGTGCGCGCGCCAACCACGACCTGGCGCTGCTACTGGTTCGCCGCGGCGCCTCGGCAGCCCCGTGCGCCAACTCGCACGACTCGGCGTTGCACTTGCTGTGCTCAAGCCCGCCGCGAGCCGGGTTCGCCTACCTGGACTCGCTGCTGCTCACTGAGCTGGTGCGCGCCGGCGGCCGGCTGGAGGGCCGCACGAAGCGCCTCTGCACGCCCCTTCACCTGGCCGTGATGGCCGGTAACTTGGCCGCCGTGGAGGCGCTGCTCGAGCTCGGCGCCGACCCGTCGGCTGTCACCGACATCGGCCAGAGCGCCGTACTGCTGGCGGCTCAGGGCGGCCGCGCCGAGCTGGTGCGCACGCTGCTGCGGCGCGGCGCCGACCCGACCGTCTCCGACGTGCTCGGCCGCAGTCCGCTCTCCGCCGCGTTCGGCACCCGCGGCCGTGAGCAGCTGCTGGAGCTGCTGCTGGACTTTGGTCTGCGTCCAGCCCCGGTGCTGCTGCAGCGTCCGCCAGCTCGCAGCCCCTCCGACCTCTGGCGGAGACTGGCCGAGGCGGCCCGTCAGCCGCCACCGCTCAGCGCCATCTGCCGCCGGAGCGTGCTGGCGGAGCGGCGTGGCCCGCACCCCCCTCCCGTCTCCCTGCTGCCGCCCAGTCTGCAGCGCTACATCGAGCTGAGGGACCGGCTTGGCACTGAGGAGTCCTCTGCGGCCACCACGGCCGTGCGCACTGTGGCTGCACATCGACGGTGACCGCGCGAGACGGACAACGACCGAAACCTCAGCGAGACGGACCGAGACGGGCGACGGAACTGATGTGTAGGGAACGATGTTTTAGCCTAACGATGACCGAAGGAGGAGGTGAAGAGGGCGAATGGAGAGGTCTTCTCCCTTTTTGTCGGTTTTTACGTTGAAGCGTCAACAAGGAACTGAGAACTGTGGAAAACCGACGAAACTCAACTAATTCCCGTCCTACATCTTTTCGTCGAAGTGTTACAGTTTGAGGCTGATACCAGCGAAGTAAATGACGCTTCTTTTGATAGATGGAGGCTTTCATTGACTGACTCGTCTGGTATAAGGACTTTTTTTGTCCGTCATCCCGAGCACTTAAATTTTCACCTACTACCCTTATTTATGTGATTCACCTGGGCATCCGTTATGCACAAATGCGATCTCAATATTGAAAAGGGTCTTTTATAAACAGGAACGCTGATATGAAAGTACAGGGGAGCTATTTTTACCTCGGTTGAGGACGAACCGCCACTTTAAAAACGTTTTCGAAGCGAAGATCTGGTACTGCTTGAACAACAACAAATGCGACATATCCTGCTTTCTGGTTGCTAATGGAGATAAGACAGGGACAAATGTCAACTCTGCAAGTAAAGTGTATGCTGTATGTCTACGTGTATATGTATGTACGTATGTATGCCTGAATTTGGATGCATTTATGTAAGCATGCTGTGTGTTTGTCGGAGGGAAGGTAAAAAAGTGATGCATGGGTTAGATATTTGCTACCGCGCGCCGATTTTCCCTCTCGATGCCTTGGCTGGTGCCGTTCGTATTTATTATTACTGTATGTATATCTGGGCATTAGTGTTGTAGCCGAACGTCAAAACTGTACCTACTTAACGAGTCTCTCCATGGGAGCATTGATATCGCCTCACTCACCACTGACCAGTCCTTTGGACTGATAAATGCTGGATAAATGTGCAAGAAAAACAGCAGAGAAGGTGGTCAGCAAGAAAACAGCGCGCTTTGAATGTCACTAATGCACCCGAGGATCTCCATGTTGGTATTACTCTTAGTTTGTAGACTGTACCTCATGCTATACACGGCGAATAATGCACTTTTAAACATCGTTAAACGGCGTTGTGACTTATAGTGATTTTGACCAGGTGTCGCTATGCTTTCCCTGCACCCTGCACACATTAGACGAAGACAAAAAGTGGGAGAAGGTGGCCACTGCTCTGATCGAAATAATATCCGATATCGGAACTGTGCGATGGTGGGTCAGAGGATTTTCCTGTTTTGTTGCATCTTCCGTCCTTTTCAATCGACGCTACCTATACCATGCACTCGCCACTTTCCACTTCGACTGATCGAAACATACATGGCGATGGAAACATCACCAATCAGGACGGGGACAGGAGTCGACAGCTAACTCGCGTGTCATTACGACCGGAGTGCTCCTATCATTCCCCTATAACCATGCCTGATTGGCAACTTCATCTCGGCAATACTGCTCTGCTGCCAATTTAGCATAAATTTCTGACGTCACAAACTCGATCAGCGAAATTCCTTCAGAATTCAGGTCATGAAAACAGCGCAACGAAGCATTACGAGCAGAATTGGACAGAGTGAGCACTTTGCAAGTACTTCCTGAAACGACAGCGATAAAACGCGAACACGAGTCAGGTAACCCACATGTGCACTACAAAAACGAAAAAATAGATGGGCCTTTATTTCCCCATTGGGGGATTTCGGGCTGCCTTCGCGGATACAATTTTCTCAAATGAAAATTCACCGAATTGAATCCTTGCTTGTTACGCATTTAATCAGACGAAGACAAGCTTAATGGCTATAATCACTTAATGGCTATAATCTTAAAGTTCTGAAAAAAACTGACCACGTAAATAGGCAATTAACATAAAAATAAACGTTTTTTAACAATTAACATCAAAATCATTTATATGATATGAGGGATAATGGTCAGATTTTCTTTTTAACGAAGCAATTGATCATTTTGTTTTTTTAGAAAAAGTATCGTAGGGGTCGTCGGTGGAAAAGGATGAGTTGTCCCGCACCGATCACAGAATTACCTAATAACTGACTCACATTTGATAGCGAAAAATATCATGTAGCGCATAATTGATGTGTTAAACGGTCTCTTGAAGCTAAAACGAACGACAAACTTGAGAAAGTTCAACAAGTAAGACAAAATGCTTTTAAAAGGCTTTGTGTACATTATATACCTACCTTCTTACCTACTCGCTCGTTTGCTCACAGTATGAGCCGTAACTGTATGCCTACCTAATTGTTACATCGAGATCATCCAACCTACACAAATGTCAGCTGTCTCAAATGGCATACCTTATCACACATACCTTTCAAGAGGTACGATGTGCAATAAACGAACTCGTAATACGGCCAGCGGCTGCAACAATAACATACAGCGCGCTGCGTGTATTGCGGAACAGCATCACGAGCTGAATGATGCTGTTCCGCAATGCACGCTATACTGGAGGAATGGCGCTTCGGAGGACGGAGGCTAGTGGGTAGCGTAGTACGCTTTTACAAAGATGAGGGGGGAGGGGAATGAGAGAATGAGAGAATGAGAATGAGGGAGAGAATGAGGGAGGATGGTCCTTCCCAGGGGCGGATCCAGAAAATCTCCAAGGGAGGGGCCATTAGAAACCAGGAGGCCCCCCCCATAATCCCACCTGTTGGAGGCCCCATCTTCCCACTTGTTGGGCCCCCCCCCCAAAAAAAAACTGCGTCTATTGAGCTTATCTAGCTGTTCAGGCAACATCTCAACATCTGTGCAGGCTTGGAGGCCCTCTGTGCAGGTTAGGAGGCCCTGTAAAAGTGGTCATCTCTGTGAGATATAAGAGACCTCCAAGTTATGAAAAGCTTTACCAATCTTCTAACAAAGAAGTCTTCTCAGCTAGTCTTCTAAGAAATAACTAAGTGGGTAGGTTAAAAAAAAACTCATCGGATTTCGGCCACTTTATTTTCAGGAGGCCCCCTTTTCAGCTTTTTAACTTTTTAACTTTTTATTTTATTTTTGAAAAAAAATCGGCCAAGGGGGGGGGGCCATGGCCCCCATGGCCCCCCCCCTTGTATCCGCGCCTGGTCCTTCCAAACCGGGGGACAACAGCCAACAATATTCTCTTAAGGACATGATGTGGAGTTTGTTAATGTAATAGGTAAGTGAATAAGGACTTTACTCCACAAGAAATCGTTCGGGTCGGAGCTTTCGAATTGTATTACAAAACTTCGTCAGCGAGTCGTAATCGGGTTCGAGGGGTATCGGTCGCAAAATTCTGCGACCGAATTTTGCGACCGATACCCCTCGAACCCGATTACGACTCGCTGACGAAGTTTTGTAATACAATTCGAAAGCTCCGACCCGAACGATTTCTTGTGGAGTAAAGTCCTTATTCACTTACCTATTAGCCAACAATATTGTACCGCTCCTTTCAGAGTAGCGTGGCAAACACATTGTGTGAAAATGAACAGTGCAAAAGACAACGCGAGCATGGTCTGTACCTACTAAATAAGACGCAGCAGAGCTTAATTGAATAGAGAGATGCTGTGATGCTGCGGGTCTCTGCGCTATCTCCATTGGACAGAGTTGCAAACTGTTCCTATGCAAACACTGTATTACTTATTTGTCCTTGGCGCAAAACTCAAAAGCGGTATAGGTACTCAAATGGCATCCATTACCTTCGGCTGATGCATTGCGTTAGCAAAACGGCGGCACCGCACGAATCATGTGTAAGACTAGAAATCGAAGCATGGAGTATAGTACCAGCTATGTAGTTAGTCCAGCGTCGTGTACCTTACCTATTTTATGTTATATTGGGTCGTCTGATTTGCGTGCCTATTGCGAAGCAGCCAATCAAATCTTAACGTGAACATTCAACATACAAATTCGTGAACATACGCATAGCTTATAGGTACCTATGTCCATATCCAAAGCAGCCTCAGTTATTAAAAAGCACAAGCATCTTTAATATGCAACTAAGTAACTTTGCTCTGCACTGCATGCAGTGCGGCCCAATTTCCTCCCCATGCTGACGGGGTGCGTGCTCGGCGGACCCCCGCACGTGTGGTCCGGCCGGTGCGGTGCGCCGTCCGTGCCCGGGTCACGGTACTGCCGCGGCCGTGCTGAGACGGCCCTTCAGCTGGTATATAGTCGGCCCGTCACCACACCACCGTACTAGTGAGCCACCGGCACCGTCACAGAGCTGCAAGGTCGCCTCCCACCTCCGACATGGGGTGAGTAGCTGTGGTGAGAGGGGCCGGCAGCTCAGGTTTGGGAAGGCTGGTGTTGAGCAATGCACCATATGCCAACTTTGGGGCGATATCATATGGGCTTCTGTGATCATCCCTGCTCTGCTGCTTTATTCGTCGTTCATCAATTGATAATTATATCGAGCAAATTCTGTTGTAATAATTTGTACATTTGTGAGACACTGTGATGTGGAATGCCGAATGTGAATGTATATTGTATATGCACCGCGCCATAACGATATAAATGCATTGCAAAACGCGCATAATTCAAAGTTTCCCTTGACTGTGATAACGATTTCGTTTCAGTCGTACTGAGGTTCCGTTTGGCCGTCTGGCTGCCATGCTGGCACTGCTGTCTCTGATGTCTGCGACTGTAGAAGGCTCCTTGCTGGGCAAATCATTATACAAGAGGACTAAAGAAGCTATCGACTCACAGGACTACAGTGCGTTTGGCAAAACGCTCCACTGTAAGTGTATTGCAAAGTACGAGTTATTTTCAAGTTAACTCCCATGCTTGTTCAGCTTAAAGACGTATAATAAAAATAAATAAATTCTAAAGGTAAATACGCTTATGACGTATTACCTCTTGACAACGTGAGCAATTCTTTTTTAAACACGTGGTGAGGTGGAAGGAAAAATTACTGTAGCGAGGCTATGTTAAATTAGGCACTGTACCTACGTATATATACAAATATAAAGGCCGTGAAAAGTGCGTTTAAGATAAATTAAAAGATATAAGAGGATACATGCATACCTATGCCAGAAATGTTAATGCTACTAAGTGACACGTCGTCCCTTCCCCCAGCGTCTCGGCGTGTTCCGATAGCGACGTACAAATACGAAGACGACACAATATCCACCGCCAGAGACGCGTCGTCTGCCCCAGTCACGTCACTGCTAGACAGACTGCTGAAAGGCGTCAGCGGCCGGTCCTCGGTGAAGGCGGGGGAGTCTGCGAGGTCTACCGAGACCTCCCCGTTCCTCAGCTGGCTCTCCGGGAACGGTCTGGGTTCGCTGACGGGCAACGAGGCTACGTATCCTGTACAGGAGTCAGCGCAGACAATCGATAACGTGTCATCCACAGGCTCGCTCCTGTCGCTCATTCGCAAGGTGCTGGATGTCATGCGGAAACCAGAAACAACAACTTCAGCATCGGGCTCTGGAGACGTGTATTCAGTGTCGATCGGCGACACGACAGAGTCTCGTATCGGAGAGATCATCAAACAGCTGCTGGGGAGGCAGTCCTCAGAGGCGGAGATCGTGGTTGCGACGACAGGAGGAACTCAGTCCGGCAGTTCGTCTGACCGGACGGTATCCGAGCTGATTTCGGCCATCCGCCGGCTCCTGAGAGATCCGCAGAACTCAGAGACGGACGAGGACGGCACAGCGTCGGACGACGACTCGAGGCGCCCTCTTGACATCGCCGCCCTTATCCGTGCGCTGGCCAGGAGCGGAGAGCGTCCCTTGGCGCCCCTGCAGTCCTCTGACAGCACAGTGACCGACATCCCTGCGCCGATGTCGACCCGCGCCGCCCTCCGAGCTCTCATCAGGTGGATCTCCAAGCTGAACAGGTTGCAGACGTCAAAACACTCGCCGGGACGCTTCTCCTCGATCATCATGAACCTGCTGTCCAGGATGGCATCTCGATCCTCATCAAGATCATCCTCTCCTTCCGGTGATGTCATAAACACGCTGCTGTCCAGCCTGAACAGGCCTGGTGTTTCCATCAGCACCTCTTCCTCTCTACCCACTTCACTTGCTTCCCTTCTGACGGATCTTTACACTCCCAGATCCTCACCAATAACTTCATACTCATCTTCATCTCCTCTCAGCACCTGGCTTAAAGACTTTGAAAATTCCCGATCCTCTACAAAATCACTCTCCTCTGATTCTCTCTCGGATTTGTTGGATGACCTGGACGTGTCCGGAGGCTCACAGAGTGCGTCGGTCACCAGCTCGTCGTCTCCCGTGATCGAATGGCTGGAGACCATCTCGACCTCTACTGGGGGAGGCTCGCCGCGGGAGACGACCGTCTCCGGCAGCGTCTCGCTCGACGAGCTGCTCTCGGAACTGCAGGACTCCCTGGGCTTCGACTGATAGGTACGTCCGTTCAACAGAGCGCCCTCTGCTGTTCGGGACGCTATTGTCATGAGCAAATAACGGCAAGTTTTTTTTACACGAGTTGCTTGCTCTCTTTGCTAAAAAGATATTCAGTGAAGTTTTAAGCAGCCCATTCTTTGTCCCTCATTGGGAGAATTGAAGCTATAGCAGTAGGCATAAGTATACTCGTATATGAAGTTTATCATCGGGAAAGTTCTTTTGGTCAGGTCCCTTAACATTGCTTTATTTTGTCATCTTATAAATTTTTCTGTAGCTTCTTTAATGAAGTTAACTCCTTTGATAAATGTATTATATAGACGTAATACTGACTTCGCCGAGTCTGTTTTCGTTACTTTATAGTCCAGTGCAACTCTTTTATTCGGTCAACATTAATCACATAATAAAAGGGCGTTATAGCCACTTTCAATGCGGCCGATATGAGAGAGCAGTTTCAATATTGTTATCCGGCACCGCAGACAGTGTTTACAATTGCTTCCGTGATACGAGAGAAAATTATCAGATGTCGTTCAACTAATTTGTGAAACGTCTTGACGATTAACAAACTGTTAAACGTCTATTAGGCATTTCGTATAGTCTGAAATATGTCGTATTTTTATATTTTTTTTACATTTAAGCGCCCGAAACATATCGGCGGTACGGTATAAAATTATTAAACCACTCGTTAGGTAGAAAAATATTTTAAACGTCTCGTCTATCGGCTCGACGTTTAAAAGATTTGTTCCACCTACTCGCAGTTTAATATATAATCACCATATACCTAATCTTGTTCTCACCGTTTCAGGATCACAAAATGGCGTCACTCAGGCTCGGGATCTGCATGCTGCAAGGTCTACACTGCGGCAGATGTACCAAGTTGGAAACCTTCGCTTTAGTCGAAGCTGCAGATGCCGCACCATCCAGTCCATCCCAAACAAACTCGCTAGTCCCTTGGACTTTGACGCCTTTTCATCCACCTGTTGGATGAACATATCTCAATACTTTATATCCGCTATATTTGTTGTTCGCGTTAATTGGTTATTTTGTTAATCTTTGTATCAATGTATAATGCATAAGATGAACATCAATAAAAACAATTATTTTACAAACATTTAGAAATATTGTTAGATGAATACCTACCTATTCAGTAGTGTATGCCTTGCAATTAGCGTTTGGGTATCTTACTCTATGTCTTTGATGTAAAAAATCAATCAAAAACTTCCAAAGGCGTTTCTTCAAGAACATGCGTGTCCTTTTCTTCTAAGTTTAAAATGGCAAAACAACGGGCTTCAATAATCGGTGGCATAGATTCAGTAATCTATGTCGGTAGCTTTTTGAAAAAGAATGACTCACCTTCCCCATGAAACCTTTTACTCCTGATTACGACCGACTTCAAAATTGGGACATCGTACATATAGTATTTCAGATAGATCAGTAACCCCTGTCGTGTTTAGTTGCCCGACTAAAACATTCAATTAAATTACGTATAGAAATCGGGCGACAAAGTGTTTCTTCATTTCTATGTAGGTTCAAGGTTGGTAAGTTGTTTATTTTCCGCTTAAGTTAATGAACAAGTGAGACTCTCCGAGACGGTTATCTATGCTTTTACGTTCAAACGTCGAAGGCAAATAGTGTTCCTTAAAAGTGGACTATGTGCTGCTCACGTGATTTTCAGCGCTCATTTTGATCCGACAGTTTTGGGCAAACAAATGACACAATATTTTATCAAAGGCATGCTACACTAAATTGTGCGTTTCTGATGACGATCGACTACTTCAGATGATAAAAAAGTTATAGTTTTTTATGCATAGGTAGGGATAGCACATGTCTCGTTTTGCAGTAGGTAAGACATGCTAACGATGCTAACGATATTTTAGCATTAGAGATACTAGTATTTGTGTATTTGTATACCAAACACATCATGTGGGAGTACCTATGCCTAGCTATATGTAAGCCAAGTTATGTGTAGTTTGCACCTGTGTCGCCATGCTGCAATGAACTTCGCTCTCCAAGATGTAATACCCACGACAGAGGAGTTTTGGTACGACTCGGTGTATCTGCCTGCTATCCATTACACAGAAACATGTACTCAGTAAATATACCTACTTTTGTTATACGTATGTATATGCCTGTGTTTTTACGGTTCCTAATGCCCATCCTTTTGTGGACGAGTACATTAAAAGAAACAGTATGAGCAAAATAATGCACACCCGTGACCCGAACATATGAGACCTCTCTTCACTCAAAAAACCTAACTTATAGACAAATGCTTATGAAGTTCAAGTAGTGGTCCATACGCTTATGTTCAGAGGCCAGTTTTACCAACAGAAAAATAGCCGCCTGCCGGATTTTTTATTTATTTTTAGTAAACACCGCTTAACACATACGGTACGGTAAACGTTAAAGCCCTATCCGCTTACGTGCCCATCGCGCTTACGAATCATGTGTACACTGTAAAAAATGTTTACTAACTTCCTAGTCATCCGGCCACTTTTCACTAACAAAATGCGAGTAGACTTCACACACAATATGTGTGCAAGTGTGTTTCCAGACACACGTAAAATGGAACTGGCGTGTTATGAAACACACTAGGTTGTTTCAGACATTTTGTAAGCCTACTAAGATAAGGTTTGTAAACTTGTTCGATTACTAGCTTTTGGCGTGTGAAATGACATCAAAGTCAAAGTTGCCGGTCCCGTAGCTCAGTTGGTTAGAGCGTTGGACTCCGCGTGGTGAGAGCACGCGTTCCCGGTTATGACAGTCCGGGAATTCGAAGCGCGACGGGCGCTCGACATTTATGGGCCTCCTGACAGGTATGGTTGCGGTTGGTGGCAGGCCGTAGCCAGGCGAAGTCAGTGAGGGGACCGGCCGTGCGCGGCTTTGTGCGCACGTTAAACTTTGGACTCTAAATTCTGCCATAGAATCGGAATTGCGCGATCGGAGGGTAGAGGGCAGGGTCATCGCAACAAGCTTCGCTTAGCGGTGGCTCTGTCCTTGTGAATCCTTCCCATCAAAAGGTTCGGACTAAATTTAAAAAAAAAGTTAGTCATCCGGCCACTTTTCACTAATAAAAGGCGTGTGAAATTAAAGCCGCATTTTACGTGTATGCGTTTAAATATGCAACCATCCTTGCTTCTTATGCCTACATCTTATAATAAAACACACAGACGAGTAATTAAACACAAAGATGTTTATTCAAACAACGTATAAGGCAACGCAACCACCCTCATGTCAACCAACGTCATAAATCAATCGGTAATCTGCACCGGTCGTGGTGACAAGTCTGCACTGATTCGCACCAACTAGCCTGGGAATCCGCACTATGTGAAGCGGTGCGGTCTTCAGGCAAAAAATTCCGGCAGGCGGCTATTTTTCTGTTGGTAAACTGGCCTCAGAAGTCAGAACTAAGAAAAAGCTTTAACTTATCTAGGCCTTCCTTTTGTAGGACCACGGTACACATTATTACGAGCGAGCGAGCGCAGCGAGCGAGCGAGTTCATACTGAATTAAGGGAAAATCCTGAGATGAGCGGCCGGCCGGCCGTCGGGACGCTCTTCAAAAGCTAATATCTTAGGAACGGGACATCCGATTGACAAGCGGTCTTCTTTACTGAATGTCACTTGGACGTAAAAGTTCTGTGGTGTGATGGCCACCATGCGTTCTTGCCAACCACCGCACGTGGCGACTGGCGCGTGGTAAAGTTGGACATTTTTTAAGAACCCCCAAAATTGCAACCTCAATACCGGCACAACGGTTGGGCCGATTGAATTGAAACTCGGTACACAGTTAGGTAGATTTCCATCAGATAATTCATCTGCATGTGTTAAGGTTGGGGTGCTACGGCACGTGCGCACGTGCAGGGGGCGTTTCCAGATCTCGAGAACGGCTGGGCTGATTGCGCTCAACTTTGGTACACGGTTGGGGACCGGTTAGTTGGGTGCCGTGCAAAAGTCATTTTGGACCCCGTTTGCACGTGCACACGTGCAGAATGCCGCTTCCAGATCTCAGGAACGGCTGGGCCGATTGCGTTCAAATTTGGCACACCGCTAGCGACCGGTTAGAAGGGTGCTTTGCACAAGCCCGTTGGAAGTACCCTCTCGCCCTTCCGCTCGTGCAGGGCTCACTATCTCGCTCGCTCGTTCTTCCCCCAAAAGGCGTTTTACTGGTTCAAAACGTTTTTATTTGCGTAGCGTACCTACTTAATCAATTCTTTTCCCATATGTATGGGTACCTTTATCTACATGTAGTTGCTTGGTGATGGCTGATGGGTGGTGGCATATGGGTGGCATCGGGTAGAAAACCGTCATAGGCTATGCACCTTTATTTATTTATTTATTTATTTATTTATTTATTTATTTATTTATTTATTCATTTATTTATTTATTTATTTATTCATTTATGTATTCATTTATTCATTTATTTCTCAGAAGCGCCGACGGGATGGCCCATTGATTGATGAAGTCATAATTTAAAATGAGTAGGTACATAAATGCACATTGCACAGCAACATTCGTACTCGAATCATACCTACACAACGTTTACCTAGGTACACACTAACATTAAAACCCTGACACAAGCTAAAGGGAATGTAGGCATGTACAATCGATGCAAAGGTAAAGGGACTGTAAAGAGTAATATGTACTAAAAGTTATTAAAAATGTACATACTTCAGAACAATGTAAGGAGTATGGATGAGAGCCACTTTTATTTATAATTTCCCTGCTTTGAGATGTTCTATCGTGAACATGTTCCTAATCTTAGGCATGATTTAGTGACGGTTCATTTTAGCCGTTTTCACGATGGCCATCTGGTACACATTTGGTGCACATTTGGTGCAGATTAGGTGCAGATCTGGTCACATTAGGTTTAGTGTATCTCTTAGTAGCTATCAGTTAGGGTTGCGCTAATTGCTTATGCCTGCTTTGTCATATAATCAGAGTATCATCGATCAAAACAAAGCAATTCATGATATGAAGATATTTGCCGTAAAAGAGATTAGGTGCAGATTTGGTCAAATTAGGTGCACTCGCCGGATAGTCCGTCGTGAAAACGGCTATTATCATATACGTAATCCAGCCCGCCGAGAATAACACCAAATAGGCACATCTGCCATGTGAGTCCGTATAAAGCACAGAGCTGCAGTGAAAGTCTACTCTGAGTGCGGATTGGGGGCCGCACCGGGACATTGATGGACGGTGAATGGTGAGGGCTTTAGCCGCTCACTGCAAGCTGATACCCGATCCGGACAGTCGCAACATGATGACGATAAGGGTGGGCACGGCCCGTCGGATCATATGAATTTCACCTGTTCTGACAGTTGCAAAGCCTGGCAGAATATAGTAACTGCGGCGTACCACACGAGATCATTACATTTTGTTGCGTAGCTAACACCACTCACCAGAGCCGTTGCTTTTCCTTTTGAGAAGATTAACTCGCGCCCTGCTGGGGGGTGAACACCCCCCGGCGCCGCCGTTTTTGGCACACATTATCATACATCAATTCTACACATGTTCAAAAATTTCAGATCAAGGTCGTTCAAGGTCAGGTGACTAGGTCACTTAAACTTTAAAGTGACCTCGCCTCATAAAAGGTTTCAATAGCCGTTTTCACGACGGCCATCTGGTACACATTTAGTTCACATCTGCAGATAAGGGGCAGATTTGGTCAAATTAGGTTCAGTGTAGCCGTTTCCACGACGGGCTATCCGGCGAGTGCACCTTATTTGACCAGATCTGCACCTAATCTCTTTTATAGCAAATATCTTCATTTTATGAATTTATTAATCGATGATGCTCTCTGATAATATGACAAAGCAGGCTTATAGTTAAGCAATTAGTGCAACCCTAGCTGACAGCTACTAAGAGACACACTGAGCCTAATTTGACCAAATGCACCAAATGTGTACCAGACGGCCGTCGTGAAAACGGCTACTATCTCTTAGTAACTATCAGCTAGGGTTGTACTAATTGCTTATCTGCCTGCTTTGTCATATTATCAGATAGCATCATCATTATCAATTAAAACAATGAAATAAATTCATCAAAAAAATATTTGCTGTAAAAGAGATTAGGTGCAGATTTGGTCAAATTAGGTGCACGCGCCGGATACCTAGCCCGTCGTGAAAACGGCTTATGTCTGCCATAGCTACACCGAGTGACCGATTGCTTTGAAGCTTTCAGCGATTGATGAGAGCAATAGTATGTACAAAATATTATCTCGCAATTTTGATATCGGTAACCTAAGGTCAGGTCAATTTTGCGACCTCCCCATTAGGACCATACCTACCTAAGTCAACGGGAGAAAATTGAAAGGCGCCTCTTTAGGACGGAAGCCGTGCTGCCGTTATAAACACTTTGAAACACTGAAGTACAAGTAACGTTGACACAGTGAACATGAAAATGGTACCTGTGACCCCTGTATATGCTCTTGAGGTCATTTCAGGTCACGAATGGTATCTAACAGTTTTTCGCGAATAACTTTTGATAGAGGCACGCTAGAGCGATGAAAATGCCTTGGTTGTGTTCACTGTTCCGCTCGACTATAGGGGAGTTGGGGGAACGCCGAAGACTTTTTTTCTGACGCCCGTAGCACGCAAGGTAGACAACATAAGCTATTCTTGTTGGCGTCATTCGAGAGGCCAGTCTTTTGCCTTTCAAACATACCAGGCGCATTTGATGAATTCGCATACCGTTAAGCGCACAAACTAAAAATATCAAAGAAGTGACTTTTTCGGCGTTGCCCCGGACTGCGGGGAAAGCCGAAAATGGGAGAAATGATCTACGGGGAATGCCGACATTGATGTTTTGCCATTTTATCTCAAACTTTATCCAGAATTGATCAAAGCTGACACGCGTTTTAAGAGCTTGAGGACGCGGTGCACACTGGTAACTTTATAATTGTGTGATATAATAAGAACATGCCGGGTAAATCATTCCTTATAGGTAACAGGCCGTTGTGTCGGTTGAAAGTGTAATTTGTGTGACTAAAAATACGCGTTGCTATTCTACAGCAGTAAAGTCCACGTAGCGTGCTTTTAACACGTGCGTAATCGCACGTTTTCGGCATTACCCCAGCCTCCCATACTTTCATTTGCAGGCCCATAACTTTTCAACGTGCTGTATAAAT